ATTTTCTCCAAACCCTAAGTAGAGAAATTCTTATGATATGAGATTTAAAAGCCCGATCCACTTTTTTATTAAATATTAAATAGGCATGCCAGCCAAAAAGTAAGTCCCATCCCTCCAAATGGAGTATCTCAAGGTTTGTTAAATTTACCCAATCACTGATTGATGTTAAAACCACCGCATCATAATATAATTTCAAATTCGGTACCTTGAGTCCACCTCTCTCACGGAAGTCTTGCATGATTTTAAACTTAACCCTTGGCTTTTTCCCTGCCCAAATGAATTTATTGATTCCTTTCTGCCATTCACTTAAGTTAATCTCATTTTTCAAAATCGGTAACATTTGAAACAAAAAAAGAAACTTGGGTAGAATATTCATTTTTATCACTGCAATTCTTCCCATGAGAGATAATTGCAACTTCTCCCAATTCCTCAAGTCTTTCTGTACACTGACCCACAACCTTTCATAATTATTTTTAAACAATTTTGCATTAGAAACAGATAACATCACCCCCAGATATTTTACCTTGTTGACAATTTCAAAACCCGTCAAGTTAGCCAAAATCTGCTTCTCCCGAATAGTCATATTTTTAGGTAGGATTTTAGTCTTATTAACATTAATCTTAAAACCCGAAACCAAACCATAATGATAAATCAACTGCAATAACTTTACTACAGAATAATTAGGTTGCGACAAAGTAACCACCAAGTCGTCCGCAAAAGCTCTTAACTTATATTCTTTTGTGTTAACTTCTATTCCTTTTATTTCCTGAGACTCTCGAATTTTAATCAACAATATTTCCAGTGTTAAAACAAATAACAACGGTGATAATGGACATCCCTGTCTAGTACCTTTCTCTATTGTAAAAACCTCTGACAAACCTCCATTAACAATAAGTTGTGCCGTTTGTTTTTGGTATATTACCGTAAGAGCTTGTAATATCTTTTCGCCAAAATTCATCTCTTCAATTACTCTTAACATAAAATGCCAATTCAGTTGATCAAAAGCTTTTTCAGCATCTAAAAATATCAACCCTGCAGAAACTTGGTTATTCTTGTCTAAATATTCTAATAAATTAATGATTTGTCTAGCATTATTTTTCATATACCTACCAGTTATAAACCCAGATTGGTCTTTATGGACAAGATAATGCACAACCCTCATAAGCCTATTTACTAAAATTTTTGCAAATATCTTATAATCAACATTTAAAAGAGATATAGGTCTATAATTCTTTGGTAAAGTAAGATCTTGATCCTCTTTTGGAATCAAAGATATAAAAGCACTACGCCATGAGGGAGGAATCTCTGAACCCTGTAAAATGTCATTAAAAAGATCACCTAATGGTTGGATCATCTCTTCCATTAAAGCTTTATAATAAACAGATGTCAACCCATCCGTACCTGGTGCTTTCCCTGGTTTCAATTGTTTAATTGCTATTGCAATTTCCTCATTAGTAATTAAACCATTAATTTCCTGTTTCTGGTCCTCTGTCAATTTGGGAAGGCTGGCCTCGCTTAAATATTTATTTATATCTGAGATTTGCACATTCGTGGATTTATATAATTTCTGATAGTAATCTAAAAAAGATTTCTTAATCCATTCCTTCTGAAACACTAATTTACCCTTATAGTTTATTTTATCTATTATTCTCTGTCTCTGTTTCTTTTTTAATTGATAGGCCAACCATCTCCCTGGTTTATTAGCATTACAAAATGTATTTTGTTTCATAAACATTAAATTAGTTGCGGATTGATCCGCCATCAACATATTAAATTGTGATCTTAACAACTTTATAGATTCTTTAATCCTTTCATCTGAGGGATTTAAAATCAAAGACTTTTCTTTTAATTTAATTTCATCTTCCAATTCTTTACTTTTCTGAGTCTGCTTTTGCCTATGAAGGTTATTCATTTTTATCAGGATCCCACGCATAAATGCTTTACCTGCATCCCATACCATTGACATTGAAGTCCCCTTATACATATTTAAAGCAAAATAATCCTTTAAACACTCCTTTAACTTTTGAACATTCTTTTCTTGTCTGAATAAATTCTTGTTCACCCTCCAAGATCTTCTCTCCTCTTTTTCTTGAATCAGCTCCATCCAGACTGGACTATGATCCGTCAGCGACCTAGGAAAAATCTTAACATTCTTTACTCTATTATATAAATCCGTTGTGATCAAAAAAAAGTCAATTCTTGAAAAGGATTGGTGTCTATCTGAAAAGAAGGTAAAGTCTCTCTCCTCTTGATTACATTCCCGCCAATAATCCCTTAATTCCCAATCCTCTTTCATGTCAAAAAAGGCTTTAGGTAGTTTTGCCTGTTTAAAAAGAGGAGAAGAACCTTTCTTGTCCCTTTGTATATCTAAGACACCATTCCAATCACCCATTAGTACCACGGATCTATAGTCCAGCAAAGTTATTTTTTGATGTAACAATCTATAAAATTGTTCCTGTTGCTGATTTGGTGCATAAAGTCCCACTATAAGTATTTTCTTACCATATAAACCAAGTTCAATCATCACGTATCTTCCTTGGGGATCTGATTCTACCAGACAAGCTGGTAAATTTTGCTTCACATAAATAACCACTCCCCCCTTTTTCGCAGGAGCAGAAGATACAAAATGAGATCCCAGACGGGCGTTAACTAAATATTTTTGATCTTTCAATAGAATATGAGTTTCCTGTAGGCAAATAATATCATTATTGTGTTGCTTTAAGTAGTAAAAGATTTTCTTTCTTTTCTGAGGGGAATTTAGACTATTAACATTCCAGGTCAGGAACTTTGCCATCTCCCTTGGCTAGAAGCCTGGAGAAGACTACCTGGAGGTCTGCCATTGCTGTATGTGTTGCAGAACTCTTGGGTCTTGCTCCTCCCACCGGCAATGAAACACTATCCGAAGAAGATTCTTTAATCTCTTTCTTTTGTTGCTCCTTTTCCTTGCGTCTATGTGCTGCACGGGTCATCCTCTGCTCTTTAACCTCTGTTTGACGTTGACCTTCAGCTTGCCACTTCCCAGCAGAGATCAGACCTAATGCTTCAGATTGCTGTTCCAGCTCTTTACCACTCAAGGGTTTCTGAACAGATGAAGCTGAGCCTGCACCCAGGACCGTATTATAAAACTCTTTAGCTTTAACAACCGTATTCAACTTGTAACGCATCCCCGCATGGCTCAAAGCGATGCCCATCGGGATCTCCCATCTGAATGGCATCAGTCTTGCTTTAAGTTCATTAGCTAAGAAAGCAAAATCTTTCCTGTTTCTTAAAATTTTTGATGGGATTTCCTTTAAAATGATAACATCTTGGCCAGCAATCTGGAATCTCTTGTTATAAAAAGCTTGTATAATTTCATTGCGCAGAGACTTCTTTGTGAAATAGATCACAACATCTCTAGGCAAATTCTTTTGCTTCGCAATCCAAGAGTTAACTCTATAAATTTTTTCCATTTCTCTGCGTAATTCTCCTTTATCCATATTCAGAGCAACAGCTAGATCACTAAGCACCATCTCCATCAGATCTTGATTCATGTCTTCCTTGAGACCCCTGATCCTCAGGGCGTGCTCCATCTCCCTATACTGAGACATAAGGATATCTACTTGTGAGATCTCCATCTTGCTTTCCATATCTTGAAATTTATCCTCAAAAAAATCAACTTTATCAGCAACTTCCTCCACTCTCGAGTCCAGCTTCACCACCACCAAAGCCAAACCTGATACAGCTGTAACTATATCTTGCCGCAAGATGGTATTATTATCTTCTAATAAATCCTTCATTTCGTTTAATTCCTCTTTGATTTCAGATTTAATCTGTACAGCAAGCTGCTTCATTTCATCTCTGATTTGGGATACAGCATCTCCCATTATGTTTTTAATCTCTTGTGCAGACAGGCCTGGTGGAGGAGGAGAGGGTGGTGGCTGGGTCGGTGGTACATGTTTAGGTTGTTGTTGTTGTTGTGCAGTTAAGGTTGTGGGAGAGGAAACCACCTTAGGTAGTATAGAAGGCGGTTGTCTCTTTGAAGCCATTTTTTAAAACGCAGTTCTCTCTTCCCTTCTCCCCAAAAAGAAAGGGAGGGGAGAAATAGAAGTTAAAAAAAAGCAAAAGTGCTGTAATCCTTAAAGTTCCAAGTTCCAAAAAAAAGAAGAAATCAAAAGAGAAATCCAAAGCCAAGAACAAAAAAATCAAAAGCAATCATTTAGATCCAATACTTTCCAAGAAAAATAAGAACAAAGAGACAAAAAAAAAAGCCAAGCGCTTTCAAAACGCCATCTTATTTTCTCTCTCCGTGCCAGCAAAAAAGAACAAAGGAGAAATAACCAAAACTAACTAGAAAAAGAAAATAAAACACTAAACTATATAAAAGAAAATCCTTTAAACCGCTCTGTCCGCTTCTAAAGTTACTCACCGAAACTCTGTAACCGCGGAGATAGAAGCGGCAGTTTCTTTTGCTTCCGAAGAAGCAAAAACAGCTGGGAGGCGGAGATCAGCAGGAGCTCTGAGGGAACACTCCTTCCACCCCCTCTAGGAAAAAATCCAGAGGAGGTTCAGGGGTTCTACCTCTACTCCTGCGTTCTCTACCCCTTCCCTTTGCCCGGGAAGGGGATTCCGAGCCGTGGGCCAGCTGATGCACGCTGTGCTCTGCGGCTCTGAACCTTCCCAGCTGGACGGCTAGAAAATAGCCGCCATCGCCGCCGCCCCGTACCGGAAGCTCCCCTACCACCTTTTTTAAATCACCAATTGCTTTCAATTAATTGGGTCTAATTGTGTATTTTTCATTTTGTAAACCACTTAGAGATGGTTTTTAAAGAACAAGCTGTATTAAATATATATTACAAAATAAAGTGCTTTCTATACTGAAGTAATAAAGAGTGGAACTGCCACATTGTATGATTTGGGAGAACATTTCATTTTAATTGCATTATCAACTATGGCATTTTTATAAAGAGATCCTTTAATTCAAAAAGTGGTGATTTATTTACTTATTCATTTTTCTATTGCAGGTGAAATGATTCTAAAGGCTCGTGTATTTACATGTGTAGAAGGAATAAATCTTCAATTGTTGGAAAAAGCTATAGAGGAACAGAGAAAATATTTTCAGGAGAGAAGTAAAGGTCATGAAGGAAGTATATGATAGTACTATGATTCAGGCAGGATTTAATTTTGAGCAGAAAATTTGCTATTCTGTATATGATCATTCTTGCCTTTACTCCTGGTTTTGTTGGAGGTTATGTTGCTTTGTGAATACTTACTGGTTTGATATAAAGTTTTAGACTCTTGAGGATGCGGATTATGTCTAGAATTCCAGAACTGGTCTCTTTATTAGACTGTGAAACTTATACATAACTCTATTTAGAAACTTAGCATGCAAAGGGCTAATAGAAATCTTTATTTTGGAAGATGATTTTTGGAAATTACAAAAGCTTGATCCTTAAGCTTGTTTGAAAGCAAAGAATTTTCTTAATATGCCAAAGAAACCAACAGTTGGTGGCTGTGAGGGAAATGGCTTTTAATTCTAATTTTGTTGATAGAAAAAAGTGTTTTTGCAGGCTTGGAATGCCCCCCTTTTCCATTTCCCTTTGTGACAATACAACTTCCTTGCTTTCCTGAAGTTGTTGAACACTTTAATCTTCCACTGTATAAATTTCAGAATATATCACAATTGTGAAATAAAAGCTGTCAAATAATGAATATCTGATGTCTGTCTCTCTAGATTTGAAAAAATTCTGCAGAACCAACCTTCCCCCTTATCAATTCCATGTAAGTCTGTTTTAAACAGCAGCTTTTAATTTGAGCCTGAAATAAAACTTAAAATGCTGATTCTAGAAAGTAATAAAATAATAAAACTTTTTCTTTAGTCTTTAATTTGTATTATAGATTCATACAAAGATCTGTCTTGTTGCCTGGGTTTATATTTATGTCACACTGTAGATGTGATCATTAGGCTTTAGGTAGCTGTTATTAATGTGATAATGGCATCTACTTTAACATTTTCATCAGGATCAGATGAAACTATGTGTTTGCAGGTAGAAAAACAGTTGAATTAAATCCAATTTGTTGGTCAGAAGTGGTTCCTGGATCTTGAATCAATGATATGGGTCCTTTATATGAGCTGGAATTGATCATGAGAAAGCAGACTCATAGTGTGAAGGGTCTCATTTCTATTGAATACCTTTTCCCAGCTGTAGCTGAATTTTCCAGCTATGTTTATCTCTGGACAGAGTTAACTTGTCCATAATAACTCATGCTCTAATAAACTCCAAGGTATAGTTTTTAAATGTATGCTTTATGAGAGTGTCCTTGAGAATGGCTAGGGGATTGGTTTGATAAGATAAGACTTTGTTAATATCAGATGTTATTAGAAACGGCACTGCTTGTCTCTTAGGTAAATATACAAGTCCTAAATGTCTCACTATCTAGTTACCTATCACCTAGGATGGTTAAAAGAATCATTACTCAACATCTACATCTGATTGTTAATAATAAATTGTTGAAATGCATAGTTTAACAACAATAAATTAACCAATTAGTATCTGGTCTGGCAGATTTACCACACCAAGGCTTTTTCCTATTTTTTTTCCCGGTGGCCTGGCTGATTGCACCGAAAGCGCGGAAGGAGGGCCCGCCGGGAGGACCAGAAGCTCTGGATACGCCAACCGGCTGTCCCTGTCCACCATCTCGCGGTCTCCCCACTGGTTGCCGGGACCGACCGGTGTCTCCTCCTTTCCGGACCTCCCTGAGCCCCGTGTCCAGGTCCACCGCCACCCAGAATCACTCCTGCAGGCAGTTTGGCACACCCCTGTATATGCAGGCCTGGCGTAGTTCCTGGTTGAGGCCCACCTGGAACTGACAGACCAGCAACCGTTCTGGCCACGACGAGCTGAGCCGGCCCGCCAACCTTCAGAAGTCCCGGACATATTCCGCTATGGTTTGGCCCTGTTGCTTCAGCGACAGAAGCTCCACCTTGGCCCTCTGGAGATGTGACACGTCCTCAAACCGAGCATGCAGCGCTTCCAAGAACATGCCTGCATTATCCAACTCCCGGGCATGGTCACTATAGAGGTCAGCAGCCCATGCCGCTGCCTCCCCCTGTAGCCCTGCCGTAATTGCCACCACCATCACCCATTGGGATGGATACAGATGGGCATAGCGGTCTAGGTGACTGATCACATGGCTCAGAAACATGGCCAGTTCCCATCAAATGAGATGGGTATGGGTGGAGGGCCCCACGTATGACCCGGCCCCCACGGGGCCATGGGGTGCACCATTCTACCAGCTGCATCTGGAGACGTTGATCCTCTGGGTCCGGAACCGGTGCGAAGGTCCCATGGTGGTCTGCCCGCAGGTGGTCCCCAAACGTCACTGCCTGATCTCCCCAGCCATGCCGCTTGGGGCTGTGTCCCTGTTGTCCCAGCCCTAGAGGCCCCAGTTGTAGACGCTCACCGACAGTGGCAATCGAAGCCTTGGACTGCTGAGCAGGAAACGGGAGGACTCGATGCGCCCGGAGGACTCATCCATCTGCTGCCGCGAGGATGCCCCGTGGTACCCGGCCTCACCAAACCGATCGTGGAGCACCTCCATGGTGTATTCGCCGGGGGTGGTTGAGTAGCTCCATTTGTCGTCCTCTCCCGCCAGCCCATGAGAGACACTCGCCTCTCCCGCCAGCCCATGAGAGACAGCCTGGCTGGGGGTGTGCGAGCCCGGCCGGTCTCCAGGTTCACCAAAACAGGGCTCTGCCACCACTCCCCCCTGGCTTTTGTGGTAGTGGCTTCTTGGGCCTCACCCAAAGGGGCAGTGGTCTGTGTAACCTTTGGCTTCACCACTGGCTGCATCGCTTGGGCCTCAGTTATGGTGGCAGGAGCACCTGCCCCGGCTGGTGCAGCCCCCTCCACCTGGGGAACGTCCTGTTTGCCCTCCGCCATTCCCTCAGCCTGGGGTAAGGGCAAGGAGTAGCAAGCATAGTGGAAATGAGTGCTGACTTACTATCATGCCCGTCCGTCATCGTCCAGTTGAAAAGATCACAGGAACGCAGGTACAAGGTGCAAGTCAGGGTTTTAATCCTTAACAAACAAAGTCAGCACTGGGAGTGGTTTGCTCCCAGTGCTTCATATAACCGTGCCATGCCCCAAACCCCACCCTCCAACTGCTAACTACCATCCCCCCCACTACCCTTAAAGCCCCATCTGTTTGGCCCTGCCCTTCCCCTAAATCAGCCACTCCCTGTTGTTCCCTCTTCCCGTTTGTCCGAGGTGGAGTTGTCTGCTGGCACGCTGCTTCTGTTGTTCTGCTTCCGTCTCTTTGTGGCTCCTTGCCGGCTCTCCTTCAGCTGCAGGCAGGTTTGTTCGGCGTTTTGCGCCCCACGGCGCCCGGTCCCACTGCTCAGCTGGTCTCCTGCTACGCAGCTGGTCTCGTCCCCAGAGGCTCGGCTGTGCATGGCCCCCTCCACCACCCAGCATTGGCATCACGGTGATTTACCGGGCGTCGGCTACTCTCAGCGACGCCTCTTCGGCTTCCGACGTTCAGCTGATCAGCAGGGCGGTGAGGCTCAGTCTTTGCTGGTATTGCCCAGGGCGGGGTGGCGTGTGGTGTCAGGGTGGCATACAGCGGCGGTTGGCTGTGTTCTGAGTTACCCCCCCCCCACCAAAGACTGGCAAGCTCCATGGGGCTTGACACAAGGATTGTACATAGAACAATATCGGACCTCTGAAAAGTATAAGCATGCATATATACTCAGTACTTGGTTTGGGCCCCTTTTTCAGCAATTACTGCCTCAATGCGGCATGGCACTGCTGAGATGTTATGGAAGACCAGGATGCTTCAATAGCGGCCTTCAGCTCTTCTGCATTTTTCGGTCTCATGTCTCTCATTTTTCTCTTGGCAGTGCCCCATAGATTCTCTATGGAGTTCAGGTCGGGCAAGTTTGCTAGCCAATCAAGCACAGTAATCCCACGGTCATTGAACCAGGTTTTGCTGCTTTTGGCAGTGTGTGTGTAACCTCGTCCTGACTCCGGCTCCAAGTATCACCACACAAACACCACGCCAGGTACGAGGAACAATGCTTTAATATGCTTCTTACACCAAACGTACAAAGTTAGCACTAAAGCTCATTTCACCCACGTGTGTTTATATACAATTCATTGTTGCCCCACCTTTCCCACACCTACACCAACGCCCATGCAGCACTCCCCTATGTCTTGCCCCGCCCCGTTCTTGCATAACTGGCCATAATCCCGAAGCTTCCCGATGCTGCCTTTGATCAGCTGTAACGCGGTTGTTCTGTCAGCTTCAGTTCAGTGGCCACACATGCGCAGTCAGTGGTCTAGGCTGTCCGGGTCTTTTGCGCATGCGTGGCTTTGTCCAAAACTCCAACTGCGCATGTGCGGCAATTGGCTGCTCAGGCATCATCTGCGCATGCGCGGCAATTGGACCGCGCATGCTCCCATTGTCAGCTGGATGTCGGGCCTCGCAGATTGCCATAGTCAAGTCAGGAAGCTTGCTGGCCATTAGGTGGGTATCCATCTGGAACGGGGATTGGGAGCGCCCTCCTCTAAGGCCCGACAGTGTGCCTCTTCATTCTTCCGCCAGACTCTGGATCCTTAGTTTCTAAATGAGATGCAAAAGTTGCTCTCATCAGAAAAGAGGACTTTGGACCACTGAGCAACAGACCAGTTCTGTTTTTCTGTAGCCCAGGTAAGACGCTTCTGACATTGTTGTTCAGGAGCGGCTTGACAAGAGGAATACGACATTTGAAGCCCATGTCCAGGATCCGTCTCTGTGTGGTGGCTCTTGATGCACTGACTCCAGCGTCAGTCCATTCCTTGTGGAAGTCCCCAACACTTTTGAATGGCCTTTTCCTGACAATCCTCTCCAGGCTGCGGTTATCCCTGCTGCTTGTGCACCTTTTTCTTCCACACTTTTCCCTTCCACATAACTTTCTATTAATGTGCTTTGACACAGCACTTTGGGAACATACAACTTCGTTTGCAATTACCTTTTGAGGCTTTCCCTCCTTATGGAGGGTGTCAGTGATGGTTTTCTGGACAACTGTCAGGTCAGCAGTCTTTCCCATGATTGTGATTCCTACTGAACCAGACTGAGAGACCATTTAAAGACTCAGGAACCCTTTGCAGGTGTTATGGCTTAATTAGCTGGTTAGAGTGGGACGCTTTGAGCCTAGAATATTGAACCTTTTCACAATATTCTAATTTTCTGAGATTGTGGATTTGGGGTTTTCATGAGCTATAAGCCATAATCATTACAATTATGACACATCACGTCTTGAACTATCTTGCTTTGCATGTAATGAGTCTATCTCATATATTAGTTTCACCTTTTAAGTTGCATTACTGAAATAAATGAACTTTTGCATGATATTCTATTTTTTCGAGTTTCACAGATCAACTAGAACTCTGATGAGGCAAGGATACCATCTCTGTTTTTGTCTCTGAGAAATTTACAGTCTAAACACGGGGGGGGGGGGAGAATAAAGGGAAATGCTTAATGACTTATTGCAAGCATCATAAAGTTGGCCCTGTACTTTGTTTTCCCCCTGACTTTCTACATTCTGCTTCAGAGGGTGTTTAAAGTCTGCTATTTGAGGGGAAGGTTCAAGGGCCTCCCCAGCCTAGCCTGGTGTCAATTCACACTCTCTTGTCTCCCTCTGGTGGTGCAGAAGCAGGATGAGTTTTGATCCTTTGTGTAGTCTGTGGTTCAGCAAGGAGGGCATGGAGGCTAATGGGAGGTTGGATCAACAGGTGAGAGGCCTCTTGAGGAGAGCAGGACTTTTACACATGAATGACCAGTTTTAGCAATGGTGATTCATCAAAGCACATGGTTGTGTGTGTATCTGTGACTGCTTAGCCAATGGCGAATATTCTAGTTTTTGTTGTTCAAGGTTTGGCCTGAGGCCTTCTCCAATTAGGAGATAAATGTGTCCCTTTCAAACCTACATTCCAGAGAATCTCTCATAAGGCTAATTCTTGAAGTATCAACTCTTATATTTGTGTCAGGATACTTTATGGTAGCTGTAGCTCTGAACCACTGAGGAGAGAAATCAATTGAATTTAGGTGTTCCTTCCCTAAGAGGAAGTGCCTCTTGAAAGCTTTCAAAGAGGCTTGAAACTAGTAGCTTTCCCTGAAGATTTCTCTTCAAACAACCATCATCCTATCTTTTGGCCATGAGGTCTCTCCTTGTGGGATAAAAAGGATTTTTTCATGCCTATTTTGGTTGCAAATCAGCCTTGGGGGAGGGGCTGGGCAGGCCATTTTGCAACTCAAGGAAAGAGCAAGTGGCATGTGGTTTTATAGAATAATTAAACAATTTGAATATTAATAGATGTTTGGGCAGAGGGCTGATGAGCATAGCCAAAGTTTTAAATATAGCAGCTATTAATTAGCAAGTATAGGTAATCCTCGACTTACAATCACAATTAAGCTCCAAATTTCTATTGCTAAACAAGATAGTTGTTAAGTGAGCTTTGTTGCATTTTATGATCTTTTTTACCACAGTTGTTAAATCACAGCACTTCTTAAGGTAGTTTGTTAAGTGGATCTGGCTTCCCCACTGACTTTGCTTGTCAGAAGGTTGCAAAAGATGATGACATGACTCGGGGACATTGCAACCATCATAAATACATGCCAGTTGCCAAGTGTTCAAATTCTGATCATTTTAAAATCATTTTGTATTGATTTTTGTATGAAGGGAGAGATACAGCATGCACAGTGAAATAACTTTATATATGGCAATCTAGAATTCTAGTACATGTTACACGATATTATGTGTTTGGAATTCCATGAGAAAGCAATTCCTTTTCTAGTGTATTTCATCCTATCTCGTTCATGTGACCTTATTATATAACAGACAGCTATCTAGGCAAGCGTTCCCAACTTGGTGCAAAAAGCTTTTCTGAATATTCATATTTTTATTATGTATTTATCATAATATAAAATACAGAAATATGAAGATAAATGAAAAAAATAGAAAAACGGGAGAAAAATGGGAAGAGGAAAAAGTATAAGATAAAGGGGAAAAGAAAAAGCATTGACTCTTTTTGGCGCAATAAAATAAGATAATAATGTACAGCCTCAACTTTTACATGATAATATATACAAGATAACAGATCTATCTAATTAGCAAAACTCAAAGTCAAAGTTTCATTTTTTTCACTTCAGTCACAAAGTCCAAAAGTTAAATAGTAATAAAATGAATTGTATTCTTTAATCAAAGGAGGCAATTTAGTCATCTCTGCTAACTCAATTTTTGCAGCCATTTGTCCATTGTGGGAATCAAAATATCCTTCTGTTTTCTTGCTGCTCTCAGCATAATATCAAATTCCAATTTTTTTTCAAGTTCTTTATTCAAATTTTGATCAAATTTTGACCATAGGAACGCTGCAACATTCGTAAGTGTGAAAAACAGTCACAAGTCACTCTTTTCAGGGCTGTTGTAAATTCGAACCATCACAAAATGAATGGTTGTAAGTCGAGAACTACCTGTACATAATAACTTCTAATCTCTATTAGAGGAAGTTCAGCAGAGCATTTGGAGCAAGCTGAAGTCATGGTTCGTTTAACAGGTACATAGAAAGTCTATTTTAAACTTTAGCTTTTTTATAATTGATTTGTAACCCATCACCTTGTACTCCTTGTTGCTCAATTATAATCGCACCCTATTTTCTCTGTTCAGGATCTTGCCCATGGAATGCTATTGGACATGTCCATGCATGCTTGACCTAACTTTGGAAACCTATAATAAGTTTCAGAGACAAATGTAGTCTGTGTCATCATACCTGAATAGAAAAAATAAATCTCATCTCTGAAGGGCAGGTGCTAAGGGAGAGGAAAATATAAACAGAATGAAAGTAAATTTAGAAGTTGTCTCTTGCAGATTTTTCTCCAACATCTTCCAGTTCGTAGAATCTGTGGGAAGGGTGTTTTACTCTCCTACTGGTGATGAGATAATGTTGTTTTCTATCATGTTTCAGATGATTACTCCCCAGCCTCTTGTTGTGTAGATATGCTGGATTAGAGTTCCCCAGCCAGCCAGCAGTGGGGAATCTTTAGGGAATTCAGGAGCAACAACTCTCAGATGCTGTGTTTTTGCCTAAAAGGATGGCCAGGTCTATAGATAAACTCATGACCCTTTTATAATAAAGAGCATGTTTTTCCCCCTGCATATTAGTGGAATATTATTCTTCACTAGCAGACTGAGAGGGAACGAATACTTTAAACCTAAAAACCCCTATGGTTTGGGAGAAGCTAGCTGATGAAATTCACCTAGTTTGCTTATACAAATTATTGTATTTCAATCTTGCTTATTTTATTAGAATGAGTCATAACTATTCTTGAAGGCTTTGGAGCAAGTTCAGTACATCCATTAGGCGGCCCACCTAGAGATAGGGCAGCCAGTTACTGTAGTCAGAATGTGGAGGCCACTATGAGACAATAAATCGGGTAGGCAACCTTGGCTCTTTTATGACTCGTGGACTTCAACTCCCAGGATTCCTGAGCCACCTGTGGTGAGGGGAAAGGGAGAGGTTTCTAAGCTGAGCCATGCTGGATCAGGAATTCTGGGAGTTGAAGTCCACGAGTCATAAAAGTTGTTATGTCCCGAGCCTTTGCAAACGGCTCGGGCGTTTGCAGGCAGTCCCGGGCAGGTGCAAAGCTGCCCGGGACCAGACAGGCTGTCGCCAGCGCCGTGCGCATGCGCGGGTGCTGGCGCGGGAAAAGTAACCCATTTACCCGGGAGTTGCCTATATAAGAGGCTGCGAGGCGTTTGGGCGAGGCTGAAGCCATCTTCCTGCTGAAGCCATCTTCCTGTAAGCTGAACGCTGAATAAAAGAAACTGAGAACTCCAGCTGCTTCTCGTGTCTATTTTCCCGCCACGGACTCAACACTGGCGACGAGGATGGGATGCCTTGCACTACCTGGAAAGGAAAAAGTGTAAGCTTACCCAAGGAGTCCTGAGCGGCGGAAGAGGAACGGCGTCGACTCGGCAGCTGCCCGCCATTCCGATGCGCATTCGGGGGTAGGCTGGCTGATAGACCCGTCTCCTGAAGATCCGAAGATGGCGAAAATCGGAAGGCTTTCAGAATTCGACGTCTCACATCCAGAGCGGTGGGAGTCCTACGTATCCAGAATGGAGAACTACTTCAAGGCAAACCAAGTGAGGGAAGATAGCTTGAAGGCTGCCACCCTGCTTTGCGTTTGCGGCCAAGACGCCTTCGAAATCGCAGAAAACCTTGCAGCACCTGTCCCAGTAGAGTCTGTAAGCTACGCAGACCTGAAGAAGCTGCTGAAGGAGCACTTCCACCCCAAGGTGTCCGTTATCTCATGGCGCCACACCTTCGAACAGAGGGATCAACGGTCCGGTGAGTCAGCCAAGGAATACATCGCCGCGTTATGGAAGGCCGCCAAGCCCTGCGAGTTCAAGGACCTCGAGGAACGACTGAGGGACCGATTCGTGTGCGGGTTAAGGCATCGAGAGCTACAACAGAGACTTTTCGCTAAGGAAGAATTATCCTTCCAAGACGCCTTAAGGGAAGTCACCGCAGAAGAAGCAGCAGGCGGCGCCGTCAAGAACATGCGGCCGATCAGAAGCAGTGCAGAGGGTGCGTCCGTGCACCAGGAAGACGTCCGACGAAACTCCGAGGAGGATCCGGACGAAGAAGTCGACCGTCTACACCCCGCGAAGGAAGAGAACCAGAAGGGAAGCTCTTCGGCTCCGCTCAAGTGCATCGGCTGTGGAGGTCGCCACAGGAGAACCGACTGCAAGTTCCGCTCCGCTACCTGCCGGGCATGCGGTAAACAAGGGCACATTGCAGCTGTGTGCCTGGGCCGACGAAAGGCACAACCCCAAGAAGAACGCCTGAAGGGTACCAGATTCCCCAGCCAGAATAGGGTAGGTTTTTGCGCTTCGCGAAGAAGCATCTGTAGAACAGGCACACACAAGCCCATGAAGAAAAAGCTGTCACTCAACGTGAAGCTACAAGGGGTTCCATTATCTATGGAACTAGACACAGGGTCTGCCCTTTCCATTATTTCATTGCATACATTTAGGAAGATTTGTTCCAGTAGTGGGACTAAGGCCAAGTTAAGGCCTTCTGATATTGTATTAACAGATTTTCAGAACTCAAGAGTGTGTGTTAAGGGGGAGGCCACCCTTAACGTGCAATACAAGAGTTTTGAAGGTCCACTAGACTTATTAGTAGTAGGGGGTGAACGAACGAGTCTCATAGGACTCGATTGGTTTGAGGCCCTGGGGATACACGTCACAGGACTCAACAGCTTACAAACACTCGACCTACAGGAAGTCTGCAAAGAATTTGCAGATGTTTTCAGCCCCCAGCTGGGCACATTCAAAGGACCACCTGTGTCCTTAAAGCTAGACCCCACTGTCACTCCCATTAGGATTAAAGCAAGAAGGGTCCCTTTTGCTTTAAAAAGTAAGATTGATACTGAATTAGACAAACTAATCCAACAGGGAATCCTAGAACCTGTTGATTCCAGCCCGTGGGAGACCCCCATTGTCACGCCTCTAAAGGCAAATGGGGACATTCGCATTTGTGCTGATTACAAATGCACACTCAATAAGGCATTGCAGCAACATGCCTATCCTGTTCCTGTGGTCAGTCACATCCTGGCCTCTCTCAAGGGGGGGCGTGTTTTTGCAAAGCTTGACCTAGCTCAAGCATATCAACAGCTGCCTGTTGATGATGATGCTGCCATAGCTCAGACCATTGTGACCCACAGGGGAGCCTTTAAGGTAAAAAGGCTACAGTTTGGAGTGAATGTCGCTCCTGGGATTTTCCAAAGCGTAATGGAAAACACACTACGAGGTATACCAGGGGTCTGCCCCTACTTTGACGATGTCTTGATTGCAGGAGACTCCACACACATTCTAGCTGAAAGGCTTAGGGCTGTCCTGTTAAGATTCAGGAAATCAGGCCTCAAGCTCAGAAAAGACAAATGCAAGATTGGGGTGCCTTCTACTGAATTTCTGGGATTCAAAATTGATGCTGCTGGGATTCATCCTGCTGAATCCAAACTAACTGCTATTTTAGAAGCACCCAGGCCAAAGTCCAAGGCCGAACTTCAGGCCTTCTTAGGCCTCCTGAATTTCTACAATTCTTTTCTTCCACATAAGGCTAGTGTAGCTGAGCCTCTTCACAGGCTACTAGACAAACATGCTGTGTGGCTGTGGTCACAAGCACATGAGGCTTGCTTTAAAGAAGTCAAGGCCTTGCTCACTTCTAACAGTGTTCTTGCACATTTCAACGAGTCTCTTCCTGTGTGCATCGCTTGTGATGCGTCCCCCTACGGGGTTGGAGCTGTCCTGAGTCACCTCAGGTCTGATGGAACTCAGGTTCCTATTGCATACTACTCCAGAACACTGTCTTCTGCCGAGCGCAACTACGCTCAGATAGACAGGGAGGCTCTGGCTGTTGTTGCTGGAATTAAAAAATTCCACGATTTTCTATATGGCAGGCATTTCACGGTCTTCACTGACCATAAGCCTCTGCTGGGACTGTTTACCACACGTAAGCAGACTCCCCACATCATTTCCCCTAGAATGCTTAGGTGGTCTATTTTCTTGTCTGCATATGATTTTTCATTACTCCACAAGCCTGGGAAAGAAATGGGCCATGCTGATGGCCTCAGTAGATTGCCTCTGCCAGTAGTAGAAGCTGACCCCGCGCCAGCTGTCAACATTCTATCAATCCAAGCCTTGCCCGAGCTCCCTCTTAGTGCCAGGGATGTTACCGCTGAAACAGGTACAGATCACACACTTTCACGTGTCCGCTCCTGGGTCCTGTCCGGGTGGCCTGAGCACTGCCCTAGTCCTGAGTTTCAGAGTTTCTGGTCCAAAAGGAACGAAAGTTGTCATTCCATTCCCACCTCAATGAGGACTAGGGTCTTAGAATCCCTCCACGAGGGTCATCCTGGCATTGTTCGTATGAAGGCTCTTGCACGAAGCCACTTGTGGTGGCCTGGTTTAGATAAAGGTATTGAGGCTAAGGTACACGCATGCCACCTGTGCCAACGATCTCGCCCAGAGATGCCCCAAGCTCCTGTGCATAGATGGGAGGAAACACAGTCCCCATGGTCTAGGTGCACATTGACTACGCTGGGCCCTTTCAGGGCCAGTTCTTCTTGGTCCTTGTTGACAGCCATTCAAAATGGCTTGAGGTTGTGCCTGTCTCATCCACCACCACTGCAAAGACTATTCAGGTACTGAGGGGGATTTTTGCTGCACACGGGCTGCCAGATGTCATTGTGTCCGACAACGGCCCTCAATTCACCTCCTCCGAATTCCAAGCTTTCTTACAGGCAAACCTGATTCGTCATGCCACGTCTGCGCCTTTTCACCCGTCCACCAACGGTATGGCTGAACGCATGGTGCGCATCGCAAAGGACGCCTTGAAGAGACTCACCTACGGGGACTGGCATCACAGGTTGGCTGACTTTCTCCTTTCTTATCGCACCACACCGTCCACTTCTACAGGGAGAAGTCCAGCTGAACTTCGTTGGGGGCGCCAACTTACTACTAGACTTGACCGGTTGCATCCGGACAGACTGCCTTCATCTACCTCACATCCTAGGGCACCTAGACAACTACTTGTGGGTGCCCCGGTTTGGGCTCGCAATTACGGGCCTGGTCATACATGGGTCCCCGCTTCTGTGTCCAGGATCACAGGTCCTCTCTCCTACGAGGTTGCCCTGGACAACGGTCGTGTCCTGCGTCGGCACATCGACCAACTTCGCTCTAGGCGAGACTTTTCTGATGAGACTCCTGGGTCTTTTCCAGGGGGGGAGGGGGACCCTTTGGAGCAAAGGGAAGGGCAAGAGCTACTGCCCATCTCCACTGAGGGAGCCACAAACGGCTCGTCCCAGGATTCTGCAATTGCTCCGAAAAGGAAGTCATGGAGCTTACCCACACAACAGGCACTCACGCCTACTCCAGCCAGGGAGTCACCCCGGGGGCATACTCACTTTCCACATACATCACACAGCACTCCAGCAACGGAGGATACCCGGGGGCATCCCAACAAATCATTCCCGCAAGAGAGCTGGCACACAGTTCCCAAGGTTGGCCTGACCTTACCCCAAATCCTACAGGGGGTCAAACATACACAGAGCTAGTCGAGGAACCAAGTCCCGACTACAACAACCCTAGCACAAATCAGGGAACACCTGAGTTTTGGGAAAGTACAGAAACCCACACGAGCCCGAGCACAGAATGGGGTTCAGGGATGGGACAGCCTCCTGACAGGTCTTGGACTGACCTAGGAGGTTCTACAGAGACGCCCAGCAGTGGCTATCACTTCAAGGGGCCTGAGGGTCTACAGCTAGGTAGGACAACCAGGTCACAAAGCAACAGAAGCCCTGGCCTGACGAGCCCGGTGGGCAAGCAAGCAGGCCAGGCATCGGGGCACAGTCCTTGGAAGACACCAGGGCACAATAGAGAGAACAGGCTCACGCCTCCCTCCAGTCAGGGGACTTATGCCAGTAACCCAGAGCTAAGAAGGTCACAGAGAGCAAAGAAATCTCCTAAGTATCTAGAAGATTACATAACATTGCTGGCAAGGCAAAAGCCAGTAATCAGTGGGAGCACTGGGGAGCAAAATGTCATATAAAATAAATGTTGTATGTTGGTAGTAGTTTTAGCCCGGGGGAAAGGGGTGTTATGTCCCGAGCCTTTGCAAACGGCTCGGGCGTTTGCAGGCAGTCCCGGGCAGGTGCAAAGCTGCCCGGGACCAGACAGGCTGTCGCCAGCGCCGTGCGCATGCGCGGGTGCTGGCGCGGGAAAAGTAACCCATTTACCCGGGAGTTGCCTATATAAGAGGCTGCGAGGCGTTTGGGCGAAGCTGAAGCCATCTTCCTGTAAGCTGAACGCTGAATAAAAGAAACTGAGAACTCCAGCTGCTTCTCGTGTCTGTTTCCCGCCACGGACTCAACAAAAGTCAAGGTTGCCTACCCCTGCACTAAATTGCTAATTTTATTTTTATTGTCAGAGAAGTTAGATTTTCTGTCTCATGTTCCAGAGTAACTTAACTAGCTTTGGGCACCTAGACTCGTGGATGGGGAGTGAGAGGGAAATAGAAGGAGACATATGCTGTGCTAAATGTTTTGGCCTGAATAGGTCTTCGTTAATTATATAGAATCAAGATATTTTGTTGGAATTGGACTGGTTACCACAAATTTATCTATTAGATTTTAATCCCGCCTTTATTAAGTTATTCAATGTGGATAGTTCTTGTTCACTTTAGTGTTAAAATTTCATATCTGAAAAGATTTTTCCCATCATGGATGTAATCTTTTGTTATGATCATGATGAGAGTACATAAATTGGCAGAGGTAATAGTCAATCGTCATTCATTAACCTTAATCTATTTGTGAGGAGTGCAAGACAGCCAAAATAAATGTACATAATGAATTGGTGCATGAAACTTACTGGCAGGCAAAAAAAATTTGGGTGGACAAAAAAGAAAAAGAAGTTCAAATGACACAATAGATGTTGTAGAAACTAAACATTGTACAAACCAACTTTACTAAAAGAAGCTAATCTGTAAGAAAAAAGATGGTAGTCTATTCTAAATGTTAAGAGAGGCATTTAAATAACATTCATGCAAATTTACATAGTTGGTTTTGTGGGAGATAAAAAAATAATGACAGCATGTATAATGTTGAGATGTATAAAAATGGTAAGTTGTATTGCTGTTAAACATCTGACTAAACTTTATAGCACCAAGTCAGAAAGCAAAAAACGGACACATTCCAAGATGTATTCCAGAAAGTAGAGAAGATTGGGGAGGGCACCTATGGAGTTGTGTATAAAGCAAGAAACAAGCAAACAGGCCAGTTAGTTGCTCTGAAGAAGATCCGACTTGATTCGTAAGTACTAAATCCTGAACTCTTAGTTCATGAGGTAACTCCTAAATCTGCTACTCTTAAACTGATTTTCAAATAGCATTTTGGAAAATGTTTTGGTGTTTCTTTTTTTAAAAAACAGTATTTTATTAGGTTTTATAAGGGTAAGGGAGGGATTGGGTCAATATAGGTATTGGAATAGGGGTAAGGGTAAAGTGCGGGGGTGGGAGGATAGGGGTAGGTACGACAATGGGGTTGGCCCCCAGTAACATTTCCATGCTTTAGCAAGCAGACTATTGTCCGGATACACATGTTCAATAACAATAGTTAGTATAATAGTAAATATCTATAGTCCAGTGATGGCGAACCTTTTAGAGACCGAGTGCCCAAACTGCAACCCAAAACCCACATGTATCGTCGGGTGATGGGTGGGCATGGCCAATTGGCTGGGTGTGGCCAATTGGCTGGGCGTGACTAATTGGGTGGGTGTGGCTGCGGTGATAACGGCAGACTGGGTGGGACTAAAAAGTTCAATCAATCAATTGCGAGATTTTTTTTTCCCGTGAGAAGTTGAAATTGATTGATTAATTGAACCTTTTATTTTTTGCACATGGCAGCAGAGGCCTAAAGCAAAAAGGTTTTATAAAACCCAGCTGAAGGCCTAGGACTGGGGCGATGGCGTGTGTGCCCACAGAGAGTGCTCTGCGTGCCACCTGTGGCACGCGTGCCATAGGTTCGCCACCATGGCTATAGTCAATAAGAATAACAGTAGTCATAAAAATATCAAATTAATCAGTAAATATCACTTATCTTATTAAATTTCACAATCATTTCTCGCTGGTTCGTTTTGCTAATCATTGGTAAAAATTATCCCAGGTTTTAAAATAAACTGAGTCTTCTTTCTCTTTAATCTCTAGGGTTAGTCTCTCCATTTCTGCACATTCTAAGATTTTCCTAATTATGATCTCATCAGATGGTATATTTTCATTTTTCCAAAATTCAGCAAATGCTATTCTTGCAGCTGTCAATACATGTAATATTAAATTCTCATTCTCTTTTCCATAATTAGATCCTAGTATTCCTAACAAAAACAGTTCTGGCATAAATTCTATCTGTATTTTAATCATCTTTTTCAGCCATGTATGAATCTTAAACCAATTTTTTTTTTGCACTAGGACATACCCACAAGATATGGTAATAGGTACCTGGATTTTGTTTACATTTTCAACAATTATTCGAAGCATTTTTAAACATTTTCGCTAGTCTTACTGGTGTCATGTACCATCTATAAAACATTTTATATAAGTTTTCTTCATATGAAGCTGCTTTAGTCAGTTTAATGTTTCTATCCAATAGCTTTTGCCAATCTTCTAAGTCTATAGAGTGTCCAAATTTTTTGGCCCATACTATCATTGTTTCTTTTACTTGTTCTTCTTCCATCTTCCAATTTAGCAGAAATCTATATAAATCTATATAGAAAATATAGAGCTTCTTAATCAAGTTTTCATCTGTTTTCAAGAGTATTTGATCAAATTCTATCTGTTTATAAAATCCCATTGTCTTTACATCTTTCTCATATCTTGTTTGGATTTGCAAATAAGGCCACTATGCTAAGTCAATACCTTGTTGTTGTAGGTCTTGCCTGTCTTTAAGTTTTCCATCTTTGTCCAAAATGTCTTTGTAAGTAACAAGTTTGTCGTAGTTAATTAAATTTGGGTAAGCAAAGGCTTCCATTGTTGAAAGCCACTCTGGTATTTTAGTATAATTTTTTTGTTTAATTCTCTCCCATTTTAGAAACAGTACATTCCTTATAACATGGTTTTGAAAATATCTATGTATTTTATTTTTCCCATATCACAGAAAGGCATGCCAACCCAATTGTAGGTCATGCCCCTCTAGGTAGAGAAGTCTTTTATTTCTCATCGTTATCCGTTCTTTGAGCCATGGTAAAATGGCTGCTTGATAATAAAGTCCAAATCCTCCACTATCTTTAGTTTCTTGTAACATTTTAACTTTAATTCATGCTTTTTTCCCTTGCCATATAAATCTCAATATTGTTGCATTTAAATCATCAAAAATATCTTTCCCAATTTTACAGGAATTGTTTGAAATAAGAAAAGTAGTTTCGGTAGGACACACATCTTCACTTCGCTATTCTTCTTAGCAGTGACAGTTGAAGGTTTTTCCACTTTTCCAAATCTCATTTTATTTGTTTCAACAGTCTTTCGTAATTATCTTCTTTTAGTGTTCTACATCTTGATGTTAAGTAAATACCTAAATATTTAACCTTTTTAACTACTTTCAGATTTGTCTTTTTTTATGAATTGGGTTTTCTGTTTGTCTGTTAAGTTTTTTGTTAGTACCTTAGTCTTTTCTCTATTTATTTTCAAACCAGCCACTTCTCCAAATTTTTCTATTTTCTGCAACAGTTTAGTAGTTGTTTCTAGTGGCTCCTTCAAGATGAAAACCAAGTCATCTGCGAAAGCTTGTAATTTATATTTCCGCTCTTTTATCTCTAGACCTTTAATTTCTGTGTCCTGCCTGGGCATCCCTGTCTTGTACCTTTCTTAATTTCAAAGCTTTCTGTATAATCTCTGTTTAGAAGTATCCTGGCGGTTTTTTGTTGTAGATTGCTTGAATTGCGTTTATAAAATTGTTGCCAAAATCCAATTCCATCAGTTGTTGAAGCATAAATTGCTAGTTTAAGTTGAAAGGCTTTTTGCGCATCAAGAAATATCAATGCTATCTGTTTCCCTGGATGATTTTCATAGTATTCCAAAATGTTTAAAATAATCCTTAGATTATTTTTTATCTGTCTTTTGGGTAAAAAACCATTTTGATCTGTGTGAATAAATTCAGTCAGGATTTTTTAAATTCTTTCTGCCATTATCGAGGCAAAAAATTTATAGTCCACATTTAATAACGATATTGGTCTGTAGTTTTTTATTTGTGTGGAGTCAGTGTCTTCTTTAGATATCAAAGTAATATTAGCTTCAGTCCACGAGTTTGGTATTTTTGTCTCTGAAAAAATTTCGTTACACAATTCCTTCAGGATCGGGCTTAATATATCTTGTAATGCTACGTAAAATTCTACAGGAAGTCCATCTGAGCCCGGAGTCTTATCTTTTTTTTTTTTTTGCCTTTTTATAGCTTCTATAATCTCCACCATTGATATTTTGCCATTTAGTATATTTTGGATGTTCTCCGGGACTTTTGGCAGGTCAATTTCTTTCATATAGGCCTGTATTCCCTCTTTAGAAACCGCCTCTGCTTTGTAAAGTGTCTCGTAATAGGCCTTAATAATTTTTTTCATTGCATCATTATGGAAGTGTAACTCTCCTTTTGAGTCTTGTAGCTTATTTATCATTCTTTTTTCTTTTTCTTTCTTCAGTCTGTATGCTAACCATCTTCCCGGCTTCTTGGCATTTTGAAAAGTTCTGTTTAGATCATTTAATATGCTGTGCCATTATATCCATCTCAGTTAGATTTAATTTATGTTTTGTTATTTCTATTTGTTTCTTTTGTGGGTCAATTTGTAGCTCAAGCTCCAGTTTGTTGAGTTCTTCTTTCAATTTTAACTGTAGTTGTTTCTCTTCTTTATTCTTTTTGGCAGCATAAGTTATGGCCAAGCCTCTAAAATGTGCTTTAGCCATGTCCCACACATTTTGGAGGGAAGTTTCTTCTTTCTTGTTTATTTTGAAGAAAAATTCCATTTCCCTTGTCACTAATTGTAAGAATTCTTTTTTTTTCAGTATAGATTTATTCAAAGATCTTAGTTTTTTCTTAGTTCCTTTCCAAATCATGTTTATTGGGTTATGGTCTGCCCAAACATATTTTGGTGTTTCTTGAAACAGTTTGGGATGAGGGAAATGTGGATTTCTAAAAACTCTTCTGGAAGACCTTGGTTAGAATTTTTTCATAGTGATAATATGACTTTCCTAACAGATTCCAGATCAAGTACTGTATATTTTAAGGTATCTCTAACAATATAATAGCATGTATTTCAGAAGCGTAAGCTATGATGAATTTAGGCTCAAACTGGATATATGAATATAGTCGTTTGTTTTTCACAATTTTCCAAGTGGCAACTCTGCATGCTCACTTTTCCCTTTGAGACACAACTTGGCCAAATAGAGAAATTGTATCAGAAATCAGGAGCATCTCAAGCTATTTATGTCCTATCTTTTGTTAGAAAGGTCCCCAAATATCCTATCCAGGCACTGGACATATTTGGGCTTATTTATTTTCAGTAAGAAACTGTATTATATTCTCTTATACCATGTCCTGTATGTCAGATTCATAATAGTGAAATAAATGGGATACCAGAGAAGCAACCTAGAACTAAGGAGAAACTTCCTGACAGTTAGAACAATTAACCAATGGAACAACCTGCCTCCAGAAGCGGTGAATGCGCCAACATTGGAAGTTTTTAAGAAGAGACTGGACAGCCATTTGTCTGAAATGGTGTAGGGTTTCCTGCCTGAGCAGGGGGTTGGACTTGATGACCTCCAAGGTCCCTTCCAACTTTTTTATTATTATTATGGTGGATCATCGCACAGTCAGCCAGATGTTCAGACTGGATTTGGCATTTTGTCTACCTATCGAGTCCTTACCCAGGACCTGGGATAGGCAGATGTGGATGTTTGATGGTATTACAGGTATCGTCGCAGGATGGAAGCAGTTCCTAATAAGGCCGCCTTTTGCAATTGACTAATAGCGAATTTGTCAATACCAATGGTGTTCAAGTGGTGCTCCAGTTGCTTTGGGATTGCACCCAAGGAGCCTATTACTATTGGTACTACCCTTGCTTGCTTTTGCCACAGTCTTTCTATTTCTATTTGTAGTCTTTGTATTTTGTTATCTTCTCCAGTTCTTTCTCTTCTATTCTGCTATCTCCAGGCACTGCCACGTCCACTATCCAGACTTTTTTGTCTTTCTTATCGACAATTGTTAAGTCTGGGGTGTTATGTTGCAGGTGCTTGTCTGTTTGAATTCTGAAGTCCCAGAGCAGTTTAATTTTATCATTTTCTATGACTTTCTCTATTTTATGATCCCACCAGTTTTTGCTTACAGGCAAATGATATTTTTTGCAGATCTTCCAATGCACCATTGTTGCTACTTTGTCATGCCGCTGCTTGTATCAGTCTGTGCAATCTTCTTGCAACAGCTTACCAGGTGGTCCACTGTTTCTTCAGCTTCTTTGCATAGGCGGCACTTACTGTCTGTTGCTGTCTTCCCAATTTTCACTTGATATGCATTTGTCCTTAAGGCTTGGTCTTGTGCAGTCAGAATTAGTCCCTCGTCTCTTTCTTCAATTTTCCTGCTCTTAGCCATTGCCAGGTCTTGTTATTATCTGCTTTCCCAGCTATTTTTTTCATGTATTGGCCATGTAGTGCTTTGTCTTCCCATGCCTCTATTCTGTTCTTCATTTGGTCTTTCTTGTAGGCCAGTTTGGTCTCTCCAGTAGTTAGTAAGCCTTCCTGATATACTAATTTCAGTGCATCTTCATCATTGTTCTTCAGATATTCTTCCAAAGCCATTTTTTCTTCTTCAACCATCTGATGTACTTGTAGCATTCCACGCCCACCTATTTGCCTTGGTAGATAAAGTCTATCAATGTCACTGCGTGGATGAAGGGCATGATTCATTGCCATTATTTTTCTGGTCTGCCTATCCATTGCTTTTAGTTCTGCTTGAGTCCAATCCACTATTCCAGCTGTGTACCTAATGACTGGGATTTCCCAGGTGTTGATTGCCTTTATGGTATTTCCTCCATTGAGTTTGGACTTTAAGATCTTCTTCACTCTCTTGATGTATTCACCTCTAATCTTTTTCTTGACTTCAGTGTGCTTGATGTTTTCAGCTTGAAGGATACCCAAGTATTTGTAGTATTCTTCCTCATCCAGACTCTTAATGTTATTTTCGTGGGGCATCTTGATTCCTTCAGTTTTCATTATTTTTCCTTGTTTGATAGTAAGTGTGGCACATTTGTCCAAGCCAAACTCCATTACAATATCTTGGCTATATATACGGACAGTGTTGAGCAGCGATTCTATTTCAGATGATGTTTTTCCATACAGCTTCAGATCATCCATGTAAAGGAGGTGGGATAGTCTAGCAGATGTTTTTGATGTTTGATAACCATGTCCTGAGTTATTCAGTATTGTTGACAGAGGAAACAGTGCAATAACAAATAGTAATGGTGATAATGAATCTCCTTGAAATATTCCTCTCTTGATATTAACCTCTCCCAGCTTCTCACCATTGATCTGCAACTTTGTCTTCCATTGTGCCATCGATTTTTGCACAATTATTATTATTATTATTATTATTATTATTATTATTATTATTATTATTATTTCAGTTAGTGAACAAATATTCTCCATCAGGATGTGCACAGTAATGCCAAATGTTAAACTTGAAAAATGTTTCTCATCCCTGACATTAATTTTATAAAAGTATGGCTGCTTCAACCAATGCATCAATAATTAATAACCTGACCATAAGCATTCTTGATATGTGATAAGTACTTCAAAAGCTTCTGAAGTTTACAAAATTAAATTCTACCTGGCAGACTTCCTCTCTTGCTTTGGATTCTAAGCCCCTCAATAACAGCTCTGTGCATCCCAAGGACTAATTCATTACTTGCTAGGTCCCCTGTTTTTAAACTTAACAGGGTGATGGTTCATCTTGACAGGTGGGAATTTGTAGAGTGAGCTAGTTATAACTTTAATTAAATCCATAAGTAGAATTGTGATTATGTGACAATCCCCAAAGGCAATTCATGGAAGATGAGGATGATGAACTATGCTGCCAAAAACATTCCTTAGAAAAATTGGGATTGCTTCATCATAAAAAGTTTTGTTCTCCACAGGGAGACAGAAGGAGTACCTAGTACGGCAATCAGAGAAATCTCACTGTTAAAAGAATTGAAACACCCAAATATAGTGAGGTAAGAAAAGCAATGGCCTTTATATCTGCCAGGATATATTCTATGAATATCAAGTATTTTCACAGATAACAATTCCAATATTGTATTTATTCATATATAAAAATAGACCCTAACCAGTGGTGGGATTCAGCCAGTTCGCAACACTTTGGCAGAACCGGTAGCTAATTTTTTGTTGTCCAGATCCAGAATGGACTTCCAGAAGCGGCATCCACACAGAGAACCGGTTGTTCACATAGTTGAATCCCACCACTGACCCTAACCTAACCCTTAGAAGTTTAACTCAATAATTTGTGTATTGCGATTTTATCCCTTCCTCCGAAAAATTCATATTGGCTTGCACAATTTTCCTTTGTTTTTATTTGTTTATTTATATTTATTTATTTGTTCAATTTCTATAGCTGCCCATCTCAAGTGACTCTAGGCGGCAAACAATCATAACATCAATTATAAAAACTCTTGAGAGGTGGGAAAATTGGCCCATGTCACCCAGTGAGTTTCATGTAAAGATATCAAATTGGATTTCCCCTAATCTTAAGGCATCTTACTACACTGATTCTCCTTCTGCTACATTGAAGAGCTTGCAGTAATCATGCTTACATATTTTATCTAAATCTAAATACTGAAGTCACTGGGTTTCATTTCTTTTCAGGCTCCTTGATGTAGTACATAATCAGAAGAAACTATATTTAGTCTTTGAATATTTGAATCAAGATCTTAAAAAGTACATGGACTCATCCCGTACAGGAGAGCTTCCTCTAAGCTTAGTCAAGGTACCCTCAAATACCCTCCCTCATGGGCTCCAATCTGAAGAACTATCCTTTATCTGTCTCTGGTAATTAGCTAGCTAGCACCAGTGGTGGGATTCAGCCAGTTCACACCACTTTGGCAGAACCGGTAGCTAATTTTTTGGTGCCCAGGTCCAGAATGGACTTCCGGAAACGGCATCCACACAGAGAACCGGTTGTTCACATATTTGAATCCCACCACTGGCTAGCACATTTTCAAACTATTTTCAGATTGTTCTTTGCAATGTGGATGTTCAATTTACAACTCATATGGACCAACAATCTTCTCTCTGGCCCATTGCAGTCAACAGTACTTTCTGTCTGCCTGCCCCAAAAAATGATGGTCACATTCCTAGGAATGCCATAGCACCCTGCCAGCTGTATAACTAGATGTCTTGGAAGCTGCAGGAAAGCTGTTCAGCTAAGGAAGAGAAAAAAGAAGATGGGGGGGGGTGAATATGTGTATATGTATATGTATATATGTATAGTTGTAGGAAGCTAGGGAGATAATCCTGGAGAAACCATCCAGAAGCTATTAAGACAACAACAGGTGTAGAACTGTGCATTGTGCTCAGGGAGACAGGAAAATGTTAAAAAAAAGACAAACTGGCTGACACCCCCCCCCCCAACTCCCTGAGGTATACATGGGAGGAGAGGGAAAATACAGGTGGACTTGCAAGATTTTGTTACCATAGCCTGGCTCAATAAAGTATAGTTCTAGTATGCCTATGGATTTATTTTTCTGAATTGGTCTGTCTCATAGAGTTGACTATATGCCCCTGGTTGTTTGTGGCTCCTAACTGACCGGCTGGTATCCCATGTGATTCTTGTGGTCAAAAAGATTCCCAGTTCCTCTTACCTGAAATGTTGCAAAAGCTTTGACATATAATTTATTCTTTTTTCCTAGTTTTGATAGCAGTTATGAGGTTGTTATGGGAAGAATTAAATACTTAATCTTTATTCTTCCTGCTGAGATTGCTCTTCCAATTACATCTCCTTTCAAATCTACACGGATTTCTCAACCCATGTTTAGAAATTCATTTTTAACTGTGAAGGAAAAAAAGATTTCAGGAAATTATATGGCATTGCAAAAGTAGCAGCTGGGCAAAAGTATTAAACAGTTTTATCTCATACTGGTTTTTTTTAATACAAAATGTTACCTTGAAGCTGTTATTAAAGGAAAAGGGCCCTAGAATGTTGATATTCATATAATATTTGAAAAGCCTATAACGTTGTCTTCATTCAAATTATATGTAATTCTCAGTGTGGAATAATATATCTGAAAGCAGAGTTAAGTAAATACTGCTTCTTGGTGCAAAAGCACTAAGTTAAAAACCAGGAGATGGTGAATTTTAGTCCTGCCTAAAGTCAGATTCATGATCTTGAACCGCCACTCTCACTCTGCACTAAGAAGCAGGCAACAGCAAACCCCTTCCAAAATCTTGCCAAGAAAACTGCAGAGATTTGTCCAGGCAGTTGCCAGCAGTCAGCTCTGATGCAAAGGTACACATATAATGCAGGATCCAATCTGAGCCATTCACCAGGACCAGAGATTTAGCTTTCCAAGCTTTCAAATTCGTGCTGGAGCCCATCTTAGGGAACTCTCTCTCTCTCTCCAGAATGAGAAGAGAGAGAGAGAGAGAGAGGGAGGGAGGGAGGGAGGGAGGGAGAGAGAGAGAGAGAGAGAGAGAGAGAGAGAGAGAGAGAGAGAGAGAGAGAGGGAGGGAGGGAGGGAGGGAGAAGTTCCCTGAGGATGGGCTCCAGCATGAGTCTGAAAGCTTGGAAAAGTAAATCTCTGGTCCCGGTGACCGATTTAGTGTGGAATAATAAACAATCACTAGAATAATGATGTGTCTGCATAATTACTGGAATAATGCTGTGTTAGTAGTATGTAGACTAACCTAATGCACGTTGCACTCGGATACAATGTATGTAGCAAACTCTCTCCATTGTATATCCGTGAGAAATGAACCTAATGTATTACAATGTGTATTATAATGTGTATTCCTTTGTTCCTGAGAAAAAGAAAGTATAAAACTGAAGTCTGAACCCGCCCTTGGGGTTCAGAATTGCTCGTTGCTACTGCTTCTGAACCTGCGCAATAAATCTCTCTGCTAAAACCCTCTGGAATTCGTAAGAGTCCTTTCGTTTTCCACAAGAGATTCAGATTAGATCCTGCAACATTATCCTGGGATATGTAGATTTACCTTCATTTGTACATACATTCTGCTTGCAGCGCCTAGGTCTTGGGACAGCTATTTGATCAATGTTTATGTCTTATACATGTGGCAATTGTAACACCTGCCATTTGTTCTGGATGCATATGAGAAGATTCAAGACTACAGTTCTTCTGCTTGAATAGGCTTACTGAGGGAAAAGCTTTGTTCCAGTCCCTCCTCCCAGAATTACAGTGCCCAAGTCCATCATGCTTCTCCAGACCACCCAAATCGTTTTTTTAAAAAAGGGGAATAGTGTCATTCTCCGGGGCTAAAAAAGGTACTAACCTGGAATCTGTTTATTTTGTTTGCTAGTTAAGGTTAAGATACCTAATTAGCAAAAATGTAGACAATCATTACGTGGCAGTTAAGATATATATTCTATTCTAACCTTTTGTTATGTCGCTATTTTGCAAGCACATATATGGTAGCAGAATTTCGAGATACATCATATTTTGCTTAGGAAATGATGTGTCAACCTTAACGTTTCTTCATATGTGGTCTCTGAACTTTTTCTTTCTAGAGCTATCTTTACCAACTGTTGCAAGGTGTAAGCTTCTGCCATTCTCACAGAGTTATCCACAGAGACCTGAAGCCACAGAATTTGCTCATAAATGAAATGGGAGCTATCAAACTAGCTGATTTTGGCCTAGCCAGAGCTTTTGGAGTTCCCCTACGTACCTACACACATGAGGTAATGTCTGTCTCTCAGTTAGGTAGGTTGCTAGGTCAGCCCTTGAAAAGAAATCACACAGAAATAAGTGTGCATGTAGGAAAGTGGGAGTTATGTTTGCAGTCCCTCCCCCAAAAATTTAGGTGTAGCCCAAAGAACCTCTTGAAATTTACCATTAAATTTCACACATAAGGAGTAAATCATGTTAGGGTTGTGACAATTTCAGAGACCAGAGGAATACAAGAGAGAGGTCTGTTCAAAAGATTTGGGCTCTTTTGCTGCCCAAAGCAGACTGGTGCTAGAAGATGTGTATAGGGGCCATAAGACAAAGAGTGGACCCCTGCCAGTATAAAAAAGGCAATAATCTCACCCCATAAAGATCACCTGACTGCAACAGATAGAATGGTTGCTGCACTATGTTAGAGTTCACCCAGAGTAAAACTACCGCCTGCTTGCAGAAAAAAAAACACACTAAAAGGGGATTTTAAACTGTCTCAGTTTTGGTTTGGGAATGAAATGAAGGCAACATCATGAGGATATGGCAGAAAAAAAAGGTTGCCAGGCACATTCATCCTGTGTTCAGGTACAAATGGGGAAAAGCCCAGAATTTGATTAATCATAGTTTATAACATGGTTTATAAGTCATATCAAAAGTAACTGTATTGTGACGTATCAAACTAGTTGAGATTTTAGATCAAGATTCATATAAGCTAGGTAGAGAAAACATGCAGAGCACAGCTTCTGGAATGTTTTCTAACCCCTTATAGCACCTCTATTTTGGATCTTATGACTGGGAAGGAAGTGTGTGTTTGTGTGTGTGTTAGTGTGTTAAATGGAACAATTGGTAGCATTGGAGAACTGGGGATGTTGGTTTTTTTCTGTGTAGCTTCCGGTCAGATTCTGTGATTTTTGAGTTTGATCTTTCTTTAGAGGCTTCCCTTGCATTAAATATGGATCCATTCTAGTCTATTTTCAGGGTTATCCTGAAGATGGATCCTGAGCCCTTTTGTGGAATATCTTCGAACATTCAGTTGGGTTGGAAAGGATAGAAAGTAATTCCCTTGGCATCATTACGGCCATTATTTTCAAACAATTGCATTATGCTATTTGGCAACCATTAAAGAGGCAAGGGTTCTTTTGGGGAGTAGAGCAAACAAGCTTATTTTGCAAATGGAGGAGGGTAAAGGTAAATTTTGTAAAACAGCCAATCTCCACCAGTCTAGAATGAGAAGGTGTTAAATTAGAGAAAGGATTTATGTCTTTTTACACACTCTATGCAGCCTCCAAGACTTTCATATGCACTGGGCTGTGAACATTCCTGGATTTTTGGTTATAAAAAATGTGTGTCCCAATATATCTATCAATTTTATAAAAATCTCTGTTGAAGCCACCTAACATGGTTGATCCAGGACAGAGTTTTTTTTTTCTTTTTTGACCTTTGAGGCTATTCCTCCACCAGTTCTTTGGCCTGTGTTTCTGTCCATCTCCCACATGATATTGCTTTTTCTCCTACTGTGAGGTACAGTGCTTTCCAGTAAAGGGGGAAAGTAGAAGAGAGAGAATATCAAGGCATACAAAGCTTCTCTCACCACCAGTAATAGAGAATGTTGAATTCCAGCAGGTTGTATAGATGTAGCTTGTAGTAAATGACTTGGAGAACTCAGTGTGCTTTGGACTTAATGGTTCAATAATAATAAATGTTTTTAATTAAACCTGAGAAGATCTTATAAATCAAACAACCCATTAAATTTGATTCCTTTTAGGTGGTTACCTTATGGTATCGGGCTCCTGAAATTTTACTGGGTTGTAAATATTACTCAACAGCTGTGGATATCTGGAGCATTGGGTGTATTTTTGCAGAAATGGTAACATTCTTCATCTTTTTCTGTTTCAGAGAAACATTATAATCACAGTATAAATGATGAAAAATACATATGCAAAGAAGTGCTTTGTGAGTGCCCATGTGTTCTTTTTAAATTCCCTTTTCTTCATCACTGCACATCCTAAAAGATATCATGAAACATATATCCTATTGTTTCTAATTGTTAAAACCCTAATTTGAGGTTGGTCAGCCATGTCTGATGATGTCATGGTATTACTAAAGAATTTCTTTTTTCTTTAGTTGGAGGAGTTAAAGAAAAACAATATGCATTAAGCCTCACAGAACAATACAAGGATAGCTTCAGGATGACAATGGGACTACAAGTAGCCTTTGGGTTGCCTTCGCCTATCCTAGAGAGGTGGTTAGTTTTAGCAGTTGTAAATTGCTAAAAGGAAGGGCGAAGAAGATTTAAAGGCAATTCAGCATTAGCAATAACAGTAGCACTTAGACTTATATACTGCTCCATAGTGCTTTATAGTACACTCTGAGTGGTTTTACAGAGTCAGCATATTGCCCCCAACAATCTGGGTCCTCATTTTATTGACCTCAGAAAGATGGAAGGCTGAGTCAACCTTGAGCCGGACAGGATCAAACTGCTGGCTATGAGCAGAGTTTGCCTGCAATACTGCATTCTAACCACTGCATCATCATGGCTCCTAAATCCTTATGTTTCAAGTATTATGCGCCAGCATGCCATTAAAAGTTTACGCTTTAGTTTACTTCATTAGTCTTAAGTCTCAGCATCTAACTAAATTCCCTCAAGCTTCATACATAATTTTTCTCTTTGCTTTTTGCCTTAAACTGTTCATTGGTTCATAAGGCTGGTACAGAAGCAGCCACTGGAGGTTGCTGGTGTTTAAGAGAACAAGCATGATTTTACTAAATACTAAAATAAATGTGTATAGAGTCCTTCTCCTGGCATTTTTTGCAATGCTGTATTTTGAAATGGCAGGAGTTCATAAATGTAGCCTATGCTTAAAAATTAGTTTCCAAAGATAATTTAATCTAATTTCTAAACTTCTCTCTACAGGGGGTCAGTTAGAGCTTTAGGCAAAAGAGCTCTATGCTCTTTTCTGAGTGGTCGGAACCAGGAAAATGGCAGGAGAATCAGAGTTAAAAAAAAAAAGTTATTAGAATGGCTCATTTCCAACCAAAGATCAGTGGGAAATTGCATAATTTTTGCCCGGGAGGTTGTTTAAATTTCACTCCCCCAAACTGAGCTACTGAAATTGAGACAATCTCTCCTACGTGTTTCAGCACATGCATTTGTTATATTTGGTAGTTTGCAAAAAAATCTCAGGAGCTTTGTAACTGAAGGTCAGTTTTAAGAAGTCTAAACAAACCCACTGAAATTCTTCAAAGGTTTCCTGATCTTCTTGCCATTGTTCCTCTGTTGCATTTATAAATTGATATGAATTGTGAAAGTGGAATTATATCACGTGGGCCCTTTTCCCAATAGCTCTGACAGTAGCTGCGTGTTGCCATGGTGGATGGATTTTGGAGAGGGAAATTATTTCTAAGTGGAGGCAGGATTAGATTAGACTAGCTCCAAAGTACTGAACTCTACGCAGGCATGGAGAGAATAATGCCTAACCTGAGCCCAGGGCATGTGAGGCAAAAGGGCTCATATGTAGGTTGCTCACAAGGTCTACAAAACCACTTCAGTTCAGAGGAAGTATTAGAGCAGCTTCAGAAACTGATAGACCAGTGTTTCTCAACCTTGACAATTTTAAGGCATGTGGACTTCAACTCCCAGAATTCCACAGCCAGCATTGGGAGTTGAAGTCCACATGCCTTAAAATTGTCAAGGCTGAGAAACACTGCGATAGACTGACTTCCCCAAAACCAGACACTGAAAAAACAGCCATTGGGATGCAAAACACTGAGGTCCAAAAGCTTACAAAAGCTTAGTATAATTCAGTTTCATGTATGAATATTATACATGTCCCGATGAATAGAATAGAAGTTGGGTTAAGATGTTCCTCTTGAAATGCAGAATCCTAAAGTATTTTCAGTATCTCATCATCTGTAATGCTTTTGGTCTTTCTAGAGACAATCTAGCTGTGGTGTCACAAAGTTGATGGTGAAGGGAGCAAAGGAGAGACAGAGGATATCAAACTGATAATTAAGAATTTTATGAATATTTTGTAAACAGTATACTGGAAGAGTTGTAGACTCGTAGAGGTCTGTTGCTCTTTTCCCATTGATACTTGATAGGCTATTACAGTGATGGCGAACCTTTTAGAGACCCAATGCCCAAACTGCAACCCAAACCCCACTTATTTATCACCGGGTGCCAGGTGGGCGTGGCCGCGTTGGTCGTGGCAGACTGGGTGGGCGGGGCTAGGACGGCGGGGGCCAGTTCCCTCGCCATCTCTGGAGCACGGGATGCGTGCCCACAGAGAGGGCTCTGAGTGCCGCCTCTGGCACGCGTGCCATAGGTTCTCCACCACTGGGCTATTAGATAGCTCTGTTTTGTTATACCAGACTTTTTATAATGGAAACATTTTATTTGATGAGAGTAATGTTACCCAGAATGGAGATCATATATGTATAAGGATCCAGGTGGACGAACCTTCTTCTCCTTGGTCCAGGTGACTAGAAAAGCCTTGTTTCCTGGAGACTCTGAAATTGACCAACTATTCCGGATTTTCCGCACACTTGGCACTCCTACTGAATCCCTGTGGCCAGGAGTCACAAATCTTCCTGACTATAAAGGAAATTTCCCCAAATGGCCAAGGAAAGACATGAAAGTGATCATTCCAAACTTGGATCAAGATGGACGAGACTTACTGCTGGTGAGTAGAAAACTTATAAAGGGATTAGGGTTGTTTTTTTAATAATTGGGATAAGAATTGGAAAGTGTCCACTAGAAGAACTGAAATGTGCCCAACATATGTTTTTGAAATTCAAAGGAAGGCAATTTCTCATTTCCATGAATTATGACCTCTCTGCATGCATTGACAAATTATCTCACTTTTGTATGAACAAGAATGTACGAGGCAGCTTGCTAGATCAAACCAAAGGTCCATTTAGTCAAGTATAACCATAATTAGGACAGAAATGGACTAGCTTAAATCTCTTTGTTGTTGTTTTTGTCAAAAATGAGGATTGCAAAGGATTATTTTAGGGTTACTTGAATTTTCATTGAAGGGTTTGCTGTAAATGGGCAGGATTTAAAGATTGAGGCATGCTCATATTTCTCTTTTTCTAAATTACAGCAACTACTAATGTATGACCCCAACAAGCGAATCTCAGCCAAAGCTGCTTTGAACCACCAGTATTTCTGGCAAGCTCCACGGGATGCTAAACAGTGTGTGGTAGAACAGTATGGATCATGAGATTAAGAAGTTCTGGTTAATGCTTTGCTGGAAATAGCTATGGGATTGTCTCGTTCTAAACAACATAGCAAAGGAGCAGCTGTAACTATCATTAAAATGTTCTTGGCCTTTTGCCCAGTTTAATATTCATGCAAACATTTTGACAATTGTAAATGGTACAGATCCTTCTAAGGACTGATAGTTCTTCTTTAACAGAGGTGAAAAAGCTTAATGCTTTTAGTATATGAAAAGGAGTAGTACGATTTGCTATCTGAATAGTAGAATGAGAAAAAAGTTTAACTAAATCCACTTTCTGTAATATATTATTCACTCTTTTTTGTAGTTCAAGTACTAGCATTACAAGATATGGTTATTATTATTTAGATTAGACTAGCGCATCCTACAGTAGCCTAGGCGATGTTGATTTTTCTTTTTTTAATATGAACTCATGCTCTATTTCACAACACTATTGAAAACTAACCATGCTAAAAAAAAATGTATGTTTGTGTGTGGGGGAACTAGATATCACAGAGACACACTGAAATATGATATGCTTGAGTTTCTTTCTGTATGTATCCATAAAAACAAGAACTTTGTATCATCTAGACCAGGGGTGTCAAGCTGCCGCGCCCACCCCATTGCCGCCAGTGGCAAAAAAAGTCACAATACGTCGCGACGTGTTACGTGACGTTGCGAGTTTGACACCCTGATCTAGACTATTAAATAATTAAGAGGCTTCTTTAGCTGCAGTTTGGGTTTTCAGAAATATTAGAATTTTAGTTTCTAATTAAATAAAAATATCAAAATCTGATCATCAACATGCCAAAATCTGAATTAGTGTGTGACCTAAAATAAACGAATAAATAAACACTTGAAAAATTCTATTTGTTGCTTTTAGCCAAATATATGGGTTGAAGGTAGAGACCTTGAAATCTCTGGTTTCTGATGGAACCTTGACAATATAGAGATGGAAAGAGGGGAACCTTACACTGATTCAGGTTTCTTCTTGTGGCCTCTTGTGCCCCCTAAAAATGTACTTTAGAGAGCAGTATAGGAAATTACAGTGCATAAAGAAAATCTGGAAGAAGTCAGTGAGATGTCCCTGTTCTATTATGCAAGTACTGTAATTATTTTTTTTTTTGCATTTGTAGAAAGGCAACCCAGCATCCAACAGTAGTTCTTTTCTATATTTTAAAATTGCTGTTAATACTTAAGAAATTTTAACATTAATTGTTGATGTTACTGTTAATATTCCTGTTTACATAAATAAAAAAATGCTTCAGTAACTTTTGCATTAATGAGTTTTGATGGTTGTAAAATTAATAGCATCTGTAGACCATGCAAAAGAGACAATCAACCAGCCCCAAAGAGAAAAAGACTCCAGCACTTCCCCACCAGTAATCAGAACTCGGATCAGCATAGATTAACTCCAAGGTCAACTTCAGACCAACAATCAAGTAAGCAATTCCCCGATCAAGAAACTGCCACAGAGAGCCATTAGTAAATAGCCCAACCAAAGAATTCCTAAAACCGCCCCTACCCACCCAGACAGGCAAGACACCAGAATATAAGCAGACAGCAAACTGCACTCCTTACTAGCACTGATGGTGTTACCTAGTTAGGATAATGAAATGTCTGCAAGAAAACAAGCAAGCTCAGAGAGCACCAAGAACCCCTCACCATCAAAAATAGCTGTAAAAGGGGCAGTTTGAAGACAATTATAATCAGTATCCCTCTTTTGAATGTGAACTACTATATACTATAACAAAGCAGTGAAAACTTCATAGCACAGTGTCTAGTTATCATTTTAAAACTAGGTTCTAGCCCTGTTGCCCAGGCAAGTGGCAGTACCTAGCCATGTATGGCTAATCTCAAAAAGCTAAGTAGGATCAGAACTAGTTAGTTCTTAAGATGGGAAACCACTGTGAAATACTGAGCTATAGACTAGACTGCAAAGGAAAAAAAAAGAATACGGCAAAGCACTTTGTTGCCAAGAAAACTATATACATATATGAATTCCCCAGAAGTTAAGTGCAATATGGAAAGAGATTTTAAATTTTATATAGAGAGCTCTTTTACAATATGTACAGAATGTCTGGTGTGTGTTCTGTTGTAATATATTTGCTATTAATTTGATTTGCTGTTTATTACAGTTTTGCCTTAGACTTAGAAAGTGCATTCTCTCTATGTTTTCATGTAATGTTTGGCACTGCTACTTTTTGAGTTCTATAGTTTTATGGTTATTTTGGATTGAGAATCTATGGTTCTCTAGATGTTGCTGAATTCTAGTTCCCAGCTAGGGACTCAGAAATATGTGAAGCATTATACTATATACATCATAGGAAAGGGGATTGATCGTTAGCTTTTTAAAAAAATAACAGAATAGTAGTCAGTCTTTTAACTTTTATTGCATGCATGATCTTTAAACTCCAAGTATTGTGACATATACCCCTTTAGACTTTATACAGGAAGGAGCTATTTCCTAAGCATTTTGAACTTTTTTCTATTTCAAAAATCCCTTTATTCCCTAAAATAGATTCTGTACTTACTCTCATATTAGATCCCTTCTACTTTGAGAAATGCTTCTTTATGAAGTGCTGCTAACTTGGTATAACGAAATAAGTCCAGCTATATAATATACTACACAGCTATTTATAATTACCAGACACTTTGTTCATCTGAACATGGCAATGAGTGAATTCTCTTGTGGATTAAAAGCATTTCAGACTTTTTACAAATTTAAAATTATACTGCCTTGCTTAGTGCCTGAAGTGGGGCAAAGTAGCTGAATGGATTGTTGACTGATATCCTTCAGAGGTAGCCGGGAGGAGGAGGAGCCCACTTAAAGGATCTTTCTGGCAACGAATCATGGCCTCCTTATAATGAATCTTCTCTTTACTGATAGGATCAACAAGATCTTTTTCATAATTCGATTCGTCTTGTAGCAATGTAGCCAGGTCACTACTAATCAGCCCTGTCTGGATAGCTTCTGATATTGGGATACGGCCTGTTTTCTTAGGATCTATTAGTCCTCCAGTTAGGTGTTGGACTTGCAAATAAGGAAAGGCATTATCTTGAGTTATCCATCCTTTCTGAACTGCTTCTCCTACAGCCAGTCTTCTCTTGGTGACAGGATCTTCAATCCCTGTGAAAGCCTTCTGAGCATTCAACAACCTCTGCATATAAGTATTATCAATCAGTCCTTTATCAAGGGCTTTGTGGACAGAGTGGCGATCTCTTGAGATAAGATCAACTATGCCTCCAGTAGCAGCTTGTGCCTCTAAAAGCTTTTGGGCTGTCATTGGATCCACCAATTTCTTACTAAGTGCAGACTTAACATTGTACTTGTTGTCATAGGTTGTGTCATACACTCCAGCAATAGGAAAAGTATCATCACAGAAAGCCATCTGTGGACCAGAAGAAAAGAAGGTTTGCTTTTGTTGAAAAACAGGAGATGAAATTGGAGACTTGGAAATGATTGAACCTATGGAAAGGGATGCATTCTGCTTACTTTCTCCTGCTACGAGTAGAGCAAACTCAGAGATAGGGATTTTGCCTTCCTTGTAGAGTTGGTATTCTTCTTTTGTAATCCTTTTGAACCGCAGAGCATCATCAATGGAGTACTGTTTTCCACTCTTTTTGTCAAGAAGAAGAGAAACATCCCCATTGGGTCCCAGGGTTGTGATTTCTTCCCAATCACATTCCAGTTCTTGCAAATGGATATACTGACATCTATCGATCATGCCTCTTTTATAAGCCTCGTAGGGTGACATATCTTTACCAGTCTCTGGATCCAGAATAGATATCTTGGTAGAGAGGTTTGTCTCTCTCATCTGAGTCTCATTGTTCAGTTCTTCTCTGTTGATTCTGGATTGGAGTTCCCGGATAGTCCTCTCTTTTTCATAGATATTATCCTTCTCCATAAGTATATCTGATTCCAGATGAGAAACCTCCTGGCCAAATTGGATCTTCTTTTGCCTATCACTTTCAGTCCTTTGGCTCAAGAGCTTGGTCTGTTCTCTAAGGAAAAGGGCTTTTTGTTGCTTTTGTTTTTCTAGTTCCCTTAATTCATCTTCAAGACTGACTTTTTCTTGCATTGCCACATTCCGAGTTTTCTGGAGGTCAGCTTCTTCTCTGGTCCATGTGCACTGCATGCCTTCCGCTCTCTCAATCTTCTCTCTCAGATGTCTGATACTTTCTTCTGCATTTTGCCGAGCAGTTCGTTCTTTGCTTAGCAGATCCCAAAGACGTGTTCGTTCATTTTCAAGTACCCTGTCTTTTTCTACTCTGATTACTTCCTTATATATTGTCTTTTCCTGGGACTTTGTCTTTTGTAGAACATCAATCTGGGCTTGAAGGTTCTTGCATTCCCTCTGGAAGCTCAATACTTGAACTTTCTCCTTGTCTAGTTCAGTTCGCAAATTGGTGCTCGATTGCTCAAGAACTGGATCTTTCTCTACCTTGATTACTTCCTCCATGATTATTTTTTCTTGAAGTGGAACTGGGCTTTCTTCAATTTCTTTTATCCTCAAGGTGATCTGCCGCATTTCCTTTTCCAGAGCAAGCCTTTTGTTTCTGTCATCTTGGAAGTTCAGCAATGTTTCTTTGTCTTCCACTGCTGCCCGAAGCAATTGGACCTCATGATCCATCCTTCGTCGGTTGCTTATTTGTTCATCTAAACTCCTGCTCAGCCTGTTGTGCTCCTCCCTAAGCTTCACATCTTTCTGAGTAACAATTACTTCCTGTACCACCACTTTTTCCTCAGGCTTCCTTCTCTCCAGAAGAATATACTTATTCTGCAGATCATAGATGGCATCTTCAGTTGCTCTTCTCTTTTGTAATATATTACGCACTTCTTGGTGAAGACGTTCCGCCTCTTTTTCTAACAGAGGGTCATCCTCATATCGGACAACCTCCTTAGTAACAACCTTGGTTTCAACTTTGGCTCTTTCTCTTTTCCACTCATCCCTTTCTCCTTCTAACCTGATTAGCTGTTCTTGGAACCGACCATTTGCATTCACAAGATCGTTTAGCTGTTCTTTCAACCGGTCTATTTCTCTCAATACCTCTGGGCTCTTTTCTGTTTTCAACACCTCTTGGATGACTTCTTTAAACTCCACAGTAGGTGGTTGGGATCTAAGAACTTTCAGTTCAGTCAAGGCTGTCTCTACTTCCTGATCAACTCTTTTTCTTTTCCTTGAAATTTCTTGGAGTTCTCTCTTCAACCGTGCTATCTCTTCCTCTGTTTCTGGGTCTAGGTGAAAAATCTCATTGACTCTTTCTTTTATCTCCACCCTAGGCTTTAGCTTCTCCATGCTGCTGTATTTGCTCTGCAGCTGTGTCTGTTCACTTGACAATAAAACGTTCTTGTTCCTCTCCTCCTCAATAAGCTTTTGAAGCGTGGAAGACTCTTTTAGGAGCTCTGGATCTTGTTCCACTTGTTTTATTTCTCTCACAACGACTTTGGGTTCAGTTGCTTCAATCAGCTTCTCAAGATCCTCAATTTTGCTTTTCATTTTTGCGATTGCATCCATTACAGACTTCTTCTTGAAACTGTCTTCGTCAATTTGCATTTGCAGTGATCTGATTGCTTTTAGCATTTCTGGATCCTTCTCTAACTTCACCACCTCTTTTACGACTACTTTCTCTCGGATGTTTTGCTGCTTTTGCTCCAGGAGGTACAACTCTTTCCTGAGCCGTTCAATTTCAGAAGAAGAAATTGAATGATCACGTAGATACCTGATTTCTTCTTGGAGTCTTGTTGCTTGGGCATTTAGATTTGGATCTTTCTCTGTTTTTGTAACTTCTTTTGTAAGCAGCTGGCTTTTCACAACCCTTCTATCTTTTTCCATTTCAAGGAATATATTATTCACTTTTTCAATAT